TGTGTGTGTGTGTGTGTGTGTGTGTGAGAGAGAGAGAGAGAGAGAGTGTGTTTGTTTGTGTGTGTGAGAGTGAGTTTGTGTGTGTGTGTGTGTGAGATGGCGGAGATAAAGGGGTGAGGAGAGAAGAAACGCTTCCAGGTGTGAGGATGCATCGAGATCACATGACACAGCACTTCTCCGCCGAGTTCTTCAGATCCTCCAGCGTGGCCTGAGCTTTGCCCTTCAGGTGGCCCATGTCCACGTTCTGGATGTTGGTCAGGTGACCCAGAACAGACTGCTTCTGTTCCTCCTCCTGGTTGTCTTCGGCGATCATCTTGGCCAGTTCGGTGGGGAGCTCGACGTCGTCTGCTGCCGCCTGGATCTGAGTCTCATCCAGCTCATTCTGAGATACAGAAAAGCAAGGAAACGGGGAATAATCAATGACATACTGTATGTGTCAAACTTCACCCTGAAATCAAAAGAGTAATAGATTACATGAAGAAAGAGACGAAAGCATTTTTACATTTAAATTTATTAATTTAGCAATGATTTTTTATATGCATTTTTTTGGAATAAAACACATAAAAGTCACGTGAGAAATCACAGAAAAAATATGCGGTCCGCTCTTGCATTATTTGCATTATTATGATGACAGTTTCCTACTGAGTACTGGAAAATGGGTTATTAATTATGATTTAAAAAATATTTTAGATCAAAATCAACAAATTAAATACAGTACTTCAAATACTACAATAGTGTATAAACATTTCAAAATGTAAATAATATTTCATTAATTTTTTGCATTACAGTAATGATAATTAAAAATTGTTCTCATCACAGTACACTACTGAGTATTGGACAACGGGTTATTAATTATGATCTAAAAAATATTTTAGATCAAAATCAACAAATTCAATACAGTACATCAAGTACTACAATAATGTATAGACGTTTTAAAATTTAAATAATATTTTATTAATATTTTTGCATTGATATGTATTTTATATATTGATGATAATGTAATTAGTGCGATGATAATGATGGTAATGATAATTTAATTTTTTTCTCATCACAGTACAATACATAATTTTGGGAAATGGGTTATTAATCCTGAGAAAAATAATGATTATTTAAATTGAAATCAGCATAAATTTAATACATCAAATATTACCATGATGGATAATCATTTTAATCATTAAAATAATATATCATTCTCTTTTTTATTTTTTTGTTGCATTACAGTAATGAAAAGTAGATTTTTTTTCTCATTACAGTACACTACTGAGTTTTGGGGAATGGGTTATTAATTACGATAAAAATAATGATTATTTAAATTAAATTAAGTACATCAAGTATTACCATTATGTATGATGATTTATCATTCAAATAATATTTCAGTAATGAGATTACATTTTTCTTATTGCAAAACACTACTAAATATTGAAAAATGGTTTATTAATTGTGATAAAAAATAATATCACAATGCAATAAAAATAAAAAGGCTTCAGTATCTTTATGCACAATATACTTTCTTTTTTGGGGGGTGAAATGTGACCGTTCCTGTGCGATTGAGCCCAGTGTGTTTGTGAGCACGGCGTTTGTTCTCTGTGCTGTAGTGCACTTTATATGTTTGAATCGTGTGGACAGATGACGGGCGACAGGGAGTGTGATTAATTGTTACCTTTGGCAACCTGTATTTGTCCCTGAAGTGAGACCTGACAGTCGCCCTCTCTGCCTTCTTCTGGGCAAAATTGGCGTCTCGCTCTTGCCTGAGGAGAAACGAGAACAGAGGCACGTCAAACACACGCACACGCACACGCACTCGCACACGCACACGCACACAAACACTCACACTCACACTCACACTCACAGACACACACTCACACTCACACTCACACTCACACTCACACACAGACTCACAGACACGCACACACACCCTCACAGACACGCACACTCACAGACACACACACACACCCCC